TCGACGTGGGGGGGGCGCAGCTGCCTCTGGAAGGCACCGAGATGTACCTTTTTCGCGCAATGGTCAAAATCAAGGTTTTGTAACGCGAGCTGTGCCACAGTGAAATGGAACTAGCCGCTAGAGAGGGTACAAAGAAGAAAGAAAACAGACAATGCAAGGGAGGGATGGAGGAAAGAAAGAAAGAAAGAAAACAGACAACCCAAGGGATGGAAGAAAGAAAGAAAGAAAAAACAAACCACCCAAGAGAGGGATGGGAGGACGGCACGCCGCCACCACACAGGGATTTTAAGGAGAGGGGTGTGGTGCGCTAGCCGTCGCCCACCCTAGGGAGTCTGCCTCTTCCTATCTCTCTTCGCAGTCTCTCGCCGATTCTCGCTGCAACCTTCATGCCACCTCGCGGTCGTCCCACTCTCGTCGTTCTCTCCCTTGTCATTTCCTCCTCTGTCGCGTCGTTCTCTTCTGCCTCGTCCTGTGACGCCGCCGCCTGCCGGTCCCTTGTTCTCGCGGCTTCTTTCGCCTTTCGGCGCAACTCCGTCCTCCTCGCGGCGTATCCTGGCCCCTCGAGTCTATCGAGCTCCCCTCGCGCAAGGACCACATTTCTGACTCCCACTCCGATCTTTGCCAAGGGATGGAGGACGGTCCAAGCCGACAAAACACAAACCATGCAGAGCGCATCTCTCTCTCTGTTGTGCGAGGCGTGAACCGCGCCATTCGCTCTCACCTGGCAACCCTGTCTGCACGTCTCGCGCGCGCGTGAACAGGGCTCCAGGCCCCAAATTACGTGTGAGTGTTAGATTTGTTTGGTATTGCTAAAAATCTCTCTCCAAGCCGCTTTTTCTTATCTAGCCCAAGCGCGGCGCGCGGGTTGCTTGTATTGGGCAATTTTGCGATGTCGCAAAGCAGCGCGCACAAGCGTGTCAATCCCAAGTACGCCGCTCCGCGCCGCCCGCGAATAGCCCCGCACCACACTGACGGACGCCGTCCTCCCGCTCCTGCAGTGGAGACGCGTCGGCGCACGCGGCAAAGCGGCAGGCGGCGCCATCGCTCGTCTCTCTGCAGCGCGAGCTTCAGTACGAGCGTGAACGGCACCGCCGCTCGCTCGAGTCGATCGAGCAGTTGCGCCTCGAGATGCAGATGATGGCGCGCGCCTTTGCCGCGGCGCGCGAACAGATTGTGGAGCTGGGGGGGAACGCGCTGTCGGTGGAGGCGGAGCGGTCGGCAGGCGCGTCGGGCGCGAGCAAGGGGCGCGCGCGCTCAGACGTCAAGACCCTGCAGCGGCTGCAGACGGAGCTTGCCGACTCGAGGGGGCGCGAGCGGCGATTGCAGGAGCAGGTTGCGGCGCTCAAGGCCAAGGTAGGCCTGCTCGCGACGGTACGCAAGGAGCTGCTCAACTCCGCGCACGAGCTGACCGAGCATCTCTCCGCGGGCTGACGCCCGGATGACGGCTCGCAAGGAGAGGGTGTCGCGCATTAGCCGGGCGGGGAGCGCCTGCGCAAAAAACAAAGGCTTGACCGGGGTGGGGTGGGTGTGAGGTGTATTGCCACCCCTAGCACCTTCCCGCCGGGGAGCGGATATAGAGTAGAGGGAGGTATTTTTGTCACTCAACCGCATTTTGCATTATTCGTGACGGCTCCGCTTCGACGCGTTCGAGAGCGCCACGCCGGCTATGGATACAACCGCTATATCGATTACGGCTTTACTCGCTGGCTATGGCCTCACACGATATGGACAACGGAGGACGACAGAGTCTCGCTCTCTCTCTCTCTCTTACACTAGTAGTAGGAGTAAACGAGAGGAATGTTCTAGGTGAGCGGTCTAGGTCACCGCGGGGGGCCGGGCCGCGGGTCATCCGCCTGCACCGGGATGGCGACGAGCTGCTCCTGGAGCGACGCCCTCGGCTGCCCCACCATGATGCCCGACGAGCAGCACACCTTGGTGACCATCAGGTCGCAGCACACCATCGGAGCCTCGCAGTCGAAGCTCGTCTCGCACGCCTGCGGCAAGCTCTCCTCCAGCAGCGCGCCGAAGCCAAACAGCCCGCCCCTCGGCGCCGCCTCGCCCCGCGGGGCCCGCATCGCCTGCCGCGCCGCGCTCTCGGACGCCATCTCCTGCCGCTCCCGCGCGGCTCGCTGCATCGGCGTCTCGCGCGGCTCCCCCTCCGCCTCGGATTCGTCGGCGGAGGCGGCGCTCGCCTGCGGCGGGGGCGCCCGCCGCCGAATAGCTGCCCCACCGATCGGGCCGCACCGCGCCGCGTGCGGCAGCGCCGCCTTGAGCTGGCCGAAGAATGGCCTTGCGAGCTCGGGAACGGCGAGCTCGGGCACGGGCCACACGAAGCTGAGGGGCGCGGAGACGGCGGCGCCTTCGTCGGTGAGGGCGATGTCCGAGAGCCGGTGCAGCTTGATGGCTCCCTCGTCGTTGAGCTCATACTCGGAGATGCCGTCCAGCTGCAGGCGCGGCGGTTCGGATTTGTAGCCCGGCACCACGACCATCGGCCGCATCCAGAGCTTGGCGACCCAGCGGACTCTTATCATGGAATCCGCGACAGTCAGGCGATACGTCACTTCCGAGTGAACCATCGTCGTCTTGCGCAGAAGCCGCAGTGCACGGAAGACCTGCTCATACTGGCCGATGGACTGGAGCCGCTTGCCCGAGGGGTCAAAGAGCGCGACGTCCTCGGTGAATATGCTGAAGTCAGGCTCCTCAGTAAGGAGGCCCGGGTAGTCCCGCCGAAGGGTGTCAATCGCGGTCCCGAGCGCGAGCTGGTAGGCAGACTCCACGCCGTGCGCCTTTTGGACCGAAAATTTTGGGAAGGTCGCGGCGGCCTCGCCCGCCCGCGACGCCACGATGGGAGGGCGGCCGATGGGCGTGAAGCTGAAGCTAAGAAGGAGGGCGAGCATCTCCAGCAGGATGCCCTGTTGGTGCCCCGAATCGGCCGTAATCGCCGTCCGAGTGCGTTTTTCTTTCTTTTTCGTTACTCAAGGGCTGAGAGGTCTTGCGGCGCAGCCGCACCTGCTGCTCACTTCATACGGACCCGTCGGCTTTTACTCCCACGCATTTCAGTCTCGCACGGCGTACCTCACTCACACCTGGCAATATACCTACAACACCTCACACAGAAGCACAACCCGCCGAAATCGCAGGAGAGCGCAGGACAGGCACACTGACTCATCAAAGAAGACACATTTCTTGTTGGCTTCTAAAAATCTCTCTCTCTCAAAACACGACAACTATATATATACCTACACTGGTCAAAGGAAGCGGCTGTCGGACCCCTCGCTGGCTGGCAGGTCGGCTATCTGCGGTATATGCTCGCCGTACTATCGGCCTCCGATATGCCTCTGTCCGGCCTGCGCGCATTTCCCAGCGCCGGTGCGGCCGTGGCGGCGCACGCGGCTGCCGCGCGTGCGCTCGACAGAGTCTGTTACCCAAAAGACGGCATGTGGTCGGCGGCACAGTTTGAGGAGGAGATACGCAGTCCGCGAACGGCCGCACTGGGCGCGTGGACAGTGGGCGATTCTGGGGACGAGGCGCTGGTGGGCATGTGTTTCACCTCGACAGTGCTCGACGAGGCGTCGCTCACATCGCTCGCCGTCCACCCGCGGCTGAGGCGGCGCGGGATCGGTGAGGCGCTGGTCTGCGAGAGCATGGCGCGCGCGCAGGCGGCAGGCGCTGCGCGCTTTCTCCTCGAGGTGCGCTCGGGCAACGAGGCGGCTCTCCGGCTGTACGGCAGGTGCGGCCTCACAGTCGCCGGCCGCCGGCCGCGCTATTACCGGGATGGTGAGGACGCGCTCCTGCTGTCGGCGAGCCTGCCTGCCGAGGTCGGCGGAGCCTCGCCCATGCGCAGAGCGGGCGGGTGCCTCTCGGAGGGCGCCCGTGGGGTAGAGAGAGCTCTATCCAACAAATAGATATACTTCCTCGGGCGTTCCCCGTGTCTCGAGCGCCCGCGCAGAGAACCAGAACGCAGAACCAGATTGCAGTACGGCGAGTAGGCACTCTAGGCAGAGAAAAGGAGAAGCCAGAACGGTACGGTATGCATCGATGTCCACTTTTTAGATACATGTAGCTATTTTCCGCGGCCCACGAGTGCCCACTTCCGTCTAGGTATTAGGATCGAGTCTGTCAGTGAACGACGCGCCCCAGCCGACTCTGACGAGCGAGCAGCAGTCCGCACGCAACCATTGCGCCGGTGGCGGCGCCAATGAGCGTTACCGTTAGCAAGGGCGGCGCACCTGGCAAGTGCGACGCGGAACAGCATTCGCCAACTGCAGCAGGCGTGGGGGGGGCTGCCACGTTGCTCTCCGCCCCAGGGAGTGAGCCAGCTCCGCCTCGGCCACTGCCGGCGACACCGTCGCCGCTCCCGGCCTGGCAGCAATCGGCGCCCTTACATCCGCCATTGTCTCCGCCACTCTCGCAGCAGCCGCCCTTGCTGCCGCCCTCGCCCTCGCAGCCTCCGCCCTCGCCGCCGCCGCCCTCGCAGCCGCCCTCGCAGCCGCCCTCGCCGCCGCCCTCGCAGTCGCCGCCGCCTTGCCTCCCACTCGCGACATCGCCTCGACGAGCCGATGCGCGGGGCACATGTGCTGGTTGCGGCGGCGGCGAGGTCGGCGGCGGCAGTGGCGACTGCTCGGTCGTACCAGTGTCGGGTGAGGACGCCGCCGCCGCCGCCGCCGCCGCCGCCGCCGCCGCCGCCGCCGCCGCCGCCGCCGCCGCAGCCATCTTTGGGGCGGGGCCCGGCGGCGGCGCGTGGACGACGGCGAGCACTTCTGCGCGGACGTGGAACTTTGAGGTCTGCGTGACCTTGACGCGAGAG